TATTATAAATTTTATATAATTTTTTTTTATATATAAAAAAATTAAAAAATTTTTAAATTAATTTATTGTATTATAAATTTTAATAATTTATCTATTATTATTATTTATATAATATATTTATTTTTTAAAAATACATTAGAATTTAAAAAAAAACATAATATTACAATTTATAGATTAAATAACTTGTGCTATTATTTTTTTTTTAATAATAAATAATAAATAATAAATAATAAATAATAATAATATAAATATTATTTTAAAAAAATCAGATTTTTATTTCTGTACATTGTATAAATAACAATCTCAAAAAATTTATTTTAAAATATTAATATAATTCTTTAATATTATATTTTTAAAATAATTTAATTTATAACATTTTATAAAAAATAATGGATATATTCCTAGAAAATAAAAAATTAATATTTATATTTATTTATAAAAAAAAAAATTAAATATATTATTTTATCATTAATCCAATTAAAAAATAAATAACTAAAAAAAAATGGAATTTCACACATCAAAAATAAACTCAATAAAAGAATTAATCCTCTCAAATTAAAACGACCGAGAAAAAATTAAAAAATTAAAAATCAAACAAACGCATGAAAATATCCAATATATATTAAATACAGATAACTCTTTACAAATAACTATAAATTGCCAATTATTAACCCAACAATTATTAAGATATACATCCCATTATTGTGCATTAAAATTTCGTTCATAAGTAAAAAAATACATAATAACTATTTATATATAAAAAATAACATAATAACTATATATATATATAACCAAAAAAATAGAAATAAAAATTTTAATTCCAAAGTGAATAAAAAGAATAAAAACTAAAATAATTCCAATTCTAAAGTGAAGATAAAATAATCGAGAATATTATAAACAATATAAACATAAAAAAAATAACTGATAAATAATTGCAAATTAAAATAGATTTAAAAGAAAATTTATTCCAATAATTAAAATCGACAAACCCTTATTTTTTATCTTAAAACACGCAAATAATTCTTCTTCCAGAAAAATATTATGAAATATTATTCTAAAACCTCGAAAATTAGTAAAATGTCTCAAACAATTCCATAGAATCTATATATTTAGACAAAATAAAACATTATATATTAATATTAACAATCCTGATAGAAAATACAATGAGTATTCGCATAAAAAATCTTAAAAAATATAATTTATATGCCCGTGCGATTTATAATTTTAAATATGTGGTTAATTTCAGCTGGCAAGAAAAAATTTAAAATGAAAAATTGGAAACAAACAGCAGTGAAGAAAAAGATATTAAAAATAAAGAAAACATATAATAAAATAAAAGGTTAAATTTCTTAAACTAAAACTATATTTTCGATTAAATAATTAATAATATTTTTATTACATAAAACTTAACTTTTGAGAAAAATGCAGAACCAAGAAGAAGAATGTCAGATGATACAAAAAATTTTTAAAAATAAATTATGTAAAACTACAGAAATAATCAAATTTTTTAACAAAAATAATAATAATAGTAATAATTTTATAATGGATTTTTACATAATTAAGCATCTTTTAACCCAAATAATTAATTTTAATATTATCCACATGGATATTAATAGTATTAATTTTAAAATTAAAATTAATAATAAAATTTGATTTAATAATAGTAAAATAAATTCTTATAATAATAATAATAATAAATTATTTAATAAAAAAGGTAAATGGCTTTTTATTAAATAATGCAATAATAATAATAATAATAATAATAATAATAATAATAATAATAATAATAATAATAATAATAATCATAAAAATAATAATAATAATTTAATATATAATAACAATAATAATAATTTATAAACTTCATATAATTTGCAACTAATGATAGAAAATTTAATAATAATTCTAATATACATCTTTAAAAAGCACATTCTAATAATAATAATAATAATAATAATAATAATAATAATAATAATAATAATAATAATTTAAATTAATAAATACAAATATATTCATGAATAATGGTTTAAGAAATTTTAAAAACGAAAATTTATGTTTAGGAAATTTATAAAATAATCATTTTGAAATTAATATTAATAATCTTTACATTAATAATAGTAATACACCCATCAAAAAGGAAAATAAATTTAATAAAAATACTAATTCTGCTAATGAATCACCTATTTAAATTAATAGTAAACATAATGATTATAGAAGTTAAGATAAAAATAATTTCATATATATCCTAATTATGTTTAATAGTAAGCTTAGGAAGAAAATCCTTAGTTTTATATAAATTAAAACAATTTCAATAATTAAAATAATTTAAATAATACTGATATTAAAAATAATAAATAAATGAAATAAAATAATAAATAAAATAAAAATAATTAAAATCATAATAATGGAAATAATTAAAATGCAAAAAATATTAGTAATAATAATACAAAAAAAATAAAAATAAAGAAATATAATAATAATAATAGATTTGAAAAACATATTATTATTTTTAATTTAAAATATTTATTTAAATATAAGAACAAAATTTAATTTTTTTTTTTAGTATTTAATTTAAATATGAAATTAAAATATTTGTTGTAATTTTTTTTTTTTTTAATATTAGTATAAACTATATAATTTTATATTTATTTTTGTTTTAATGTATAATTAGTATTATTATTTAAGTATTATAAATAAAAAAAAAATTAATTTGATATAAATAATTATATTTAATTAAATAAAAGATTTACTTAATAATAAATATAACAAAAAAAAAATAATTAATATTGAAATAAAGATATTAATTTAAATTTTTATAATTTTTTACATTTTATAAATATAATGATTTTTTAAAATATAAATTATTAAATAAAAAAATTAAATAGATATTAAATAAAACAATAAGTAATTTATTTTATTATAAAATAATATAAAATTATAAATAAATAAATAAAATAAGTATTATTAAAAATAATATTTTATAAAACTTAAAAATAAAAATATTTTTTTTTAAAAAAAAAATGAAATTTTATATATTAAATTAATAATATATTATTATTATTATTATAATTATTATTATTATTATTATTATTATTATTATTATTATTATTTATTTTATTTATTTAATTATATATTTATAATTATTTTTTTTTTTTATATAATCTTTTTAATAAAATAAATCAATATATTTTTTTATAATTTTTTATTTCTTTTTAATACAAAAAAATGTTAATAACAATAAAATTATTTAAATTAGATATTTTTTTTATATTAAAATTATAATATTTTTATTTAAAATACTATATATTTTAATTTATTCTAAACAAAGTTTTATAAATTATTAATAAAATTTATTATATTAATATATATAATATATTATTTTTAAATTTGAATTTTAATTATATTTAATTTTATTTAAAAAAATATCTTTTTTATTAATTATATATTTTTTTTATAATATTTATTAATTATTAATAAAGTAAATATATAATTTTTTTTAATAAATATAAACATTATTATTTTAATGTGAAAATGTAATTTTTATTTTTTATTTTATATCATATTTATTAATAATTTATCATATTATAAGATTTATTAATGTATAAAGTATATTTAATTTTTTTAAATATTATTATATAATTTAATTTTTTATTATATTACGCCTTCAAATATACATAATCTTTAGTATTATAATTTAGATTTATTATAAATATTAGTAAAACATATTTAAAATGTATTTTATATTTTTATTTAATAATATTTATCTTATAATTATATATTTAATATTTTATTTTTTTAATAAAATATTTTTAAATATAAAAAATATATATTTATAAAAATTTTATAATTAATTTTATTTAAATAATAATTTTACATATATAATCTATACAAGAAAGGTATAATTTTTAAAAATTTATTTAATATTTAAGTTTTATATAAAAAAATGTTTTTTTATAAGTTTTTTATATAAAATAATATTTTTTGTAAATTAAAATATTTTATAATCTATAAAATATAAACAATTTATTGTTTTTTTATTTATTTATATTACATTATTTAAAAAATATATTATAAGAATAAGATTAAAATAAACTATAAATAACTAATTAAAAGTATTGATATTTTTAAAATTTAATTAGTAATAAACTTATCGTTAACCTTTCAATTCAAAATATAACATATTTTAAAAAAGAAAATATTAATTTAATTTTTAAAAAAATAATATATTTATTTTATAAAAATAATATAGTTTTTATATATATAATTATCAAATTTCTTTATAATTAGATAGGAATTATGGATATTTTTGTATTATTATAATAATAAATACAAATATAGATTATATTTTATTAAAAATGTTTAATTTTTTTTTAAATAAAATAGAGTATTAAATGATTTCTCTTATTAAAATAATACTTATTATTTAAATAATATTTATATTATTAATAAATAATTTAAAATTTAAAATAACGTTTAAAAATACATAAATATAATTATTAATAAAACTTTAAAAAAGTTCATTTTGTTTGGCAGACAGATTTATATAAATTTATCAATATGAATAGCTATATTATATAATTTTATTAACTTATTTTTTTATTATTTAAAAAAAAATATAATGTTTATTAAATAATTTAAATAAATTTTATAATTTATTTTAAATATAAATTTTATTATTTTTATATATATAAATAATAGTTATTTTATAATACAAAAAATACATTTATATAATTAGGAAATTTTTTTATTAAAAATAATAAAAATAATTAAAAAAAATTATTATATTTTTATTTTATATAATATATAAATAAATATTTTGTATTTATTAATTTTAATATAATTTTTAATAAAAAATATATATAATTAATTTCATTTATAATTTATTATTATTATTTTTTATATATTCTAAATAAAAAATATATAATAATAGAAATATCTTATATTTATTAATTATTCATAAATAAACTGAAATAAAAAAATAATATTAAAGAAAAAAATCTAAATCAATGTTTATCAGGCCAAACATAATTTAAACCTTTTGAAATTTACTCAAACAATGTGAAAGTGATAGCAACATCAGCCACAACTCTCGAAAGTCTAGCCACAGTTCCTTTATAAAATCCTTTTAACCCTTCATTTTTTGCAATATGGGCTGCACAATCGAACCAATTCTTATATTTTCCAGCATTTAGGCCTTACATATTAGTTTTAATAACATCAACTGGTGTATTAGCTATTTTAAAAAAATAATTTATAATAAAAATAAAAAATTATACCTAAAGTAGAGCATATACCAGCAAAACCACTGGCAAGTAAACTTGAAACAATCTAATTACATCCTAATGCTTGTAATTATTTATTCACATCTCCATATACTAAAAATCTAATACCTTAATTACTTCCTTATTTCAAAATGGTAGGAACCAAACCTTTATAAAGACCAGAGATTCCATATTATTTAGAAATACTAGTGCAACCATGTATAAGTCCTCTAAATTTAGGTTAATCGAGTAAAAGATCATGAATCAATTTCACTTTTATAGTCTCAGAAGGTGTAACAACTGTTATTGCTTCGAAAATACCAGCACCTAAACCGGCACAGAAAGTATGATATCTATTATTTTTGTCCTATATTTTTTATTAATCAATTAATATATATATATATATATACAGTAAAATAATGTTGTTTTAAATATTCGTTTGCACCAAAACGAGCGGCTACTTTTGGAACAGAAAACAAAATTAAAACTGACTATCCTCTATATAATCCTTTTTATTTATATATATATATATATTTTATGTTATTTTTATTTTACCTATTATTCCGTGTTTCTTTATTGTATCATTAGCACAGAACATTATGCCTTTTTTAGCTAAATCAGGATAAAGTTGCATCTTTGTTTTGACGAATTCGGTGGGATAAGTAATCATAATTTCGATACCTCCAGCAAGACCACCTTTTTAATATTTTTTTTATGTAATTTATATTATTTTAAATATTGTTATAGTATTTAATATATGTTTGTTTATTTTCATTTTTTTTATATTTATTGGAGCCTTTTTTATTATTAATTACCTGAAATAATAGCTTTCAAAGGATTTTTTTTAGGAGCTCCTGTTTATGCAGCTGCAACCATTTTATTTAATATTTAATATTATAGTTTTTTTTTTATTTTAATTAAAATAAATTAATATATATATATATATATAAATATTTATGTTTTTTTTTATTTATAAAATTTATTTAATTTATATATGGATTTAAATTAAGAAAAAATATTTTAATTTTAAGTTATTTTATATTCACAAAATAAAAATAAAAGTATTAAAATTTCATACAATTATATATGTATTTTTTATAGTAAAAAAATATATTTTATAAAACTAAATAACATAGTTTATCTTTTCTATGAGTTTAATAAAAATAGTTTTTAATAAGATTAATTTCATATATTATAATATTACATAAATATTATTCAAGAATAAGAATAAATAAATATTCATAGTAAAATTTAAATTTTAATTTTGGCAAAAATAAATAAATTTAAATATTATTTTTTAAAAACAAAAAAAAAAAATATTTTTGAATTGTATTATTTTAAATGAAAAATAAAAATTTTATAATTCTAAAACTATTTCTATAATTTTAAATTGTATTTTCATAATTAAACATGTAATTTACTAATATATATAAATTAACGATTCTAATATTTATATTTACAATCAAGTTTTTTAAGCTAAAAACATTTTTTGTTAAAAATAATATTAAAAAAAATTGAATTAAAATTAAAAATAAAAAATTAATTAATTAAATTAATAATATAAAATTATTTTTTTATTTATTTGATAATAAAATATACAATATAACTTTTCATATAAAAATTCTAATCTTCATAATTTCATATAAAAGCTTATCTAAACAAACAAAATATCATTTTTAGAATTTTCTGAATTCATCTAACTAAATGATTCGCATTGGATTATTAGAATTTTAATGTTAGACTTGTACATAAACTTAATGATTATTTTCAATGTTAATATCGCCTAATGTTATTTTAAATTAAAGCAATATATATATAAATATATATATATATATATATATATATATATATATATATATATATATATACATTATATTTATTTATTATGTAAATTTTCAATATATCAAATTATATCTATTAATACATAAAAACTAAAATATTTTATAAGTTTTCAAATAAAGATTTTATTATTATTATATGTATGTTTATAATTTTTAATAATAAAATATAATTTTTTTTTTATATAAAAAAAATTTATTTAATATTATGATACTTAAATATAAAAAAATAATAAATTCTTAGTATAATATAGCAAAAATATTAAAAATAAATGTATTAAATAATATATAAATTAATTTTATCTTTTAATATAAATTTAAAAAAATATATAAAATTATTTCTTAATTAATAACTATTAAAAATTTATTAATTAAAAAACAAAACAAAAAATCATATAAATAAATAAAAAAAAAATAATCACTTTTATTTTTTTTAATTATTTTAAATTATACTATCATAATTAGTATTAATTAATGTTAATTTTAATTTTTTACTAAAAATTCTATCGGATATATTATTATTATTATTTAATTCATTTGTAATAATTTAAATATTACTTTTAATTGTTGCTAATCCTTTTTAATAAGAATTATTATTTTATCCTTTTTAACAATTAAAATTAATAGGAGGAGATAATATAGTATTCACAGGTTAATTTTTTAATTTTATATTTTGTTGTTATTTTTTCAAATTTAATCCTATATTAGGTAATTTCCATTGGTTTTAAATTTAGTTATTATTATTTATATTATCAATATCAGATTTCAAATTTAATTTCTGGTTTGATTTTATAGGAGAAACTAATTCTTGAAAATTAATATGTAAAAAATTTAAATTATTCTTTTTATCAAAATTTAGCGTTTTTTGCAAATTTTATTTAATAATACTATTTTCATTTATATTAATATTTATTTATTTTTTAATAAAAATACTTTGATTTCGAATCATCTTCTTCTTATAAATAATGATAAGTTTTTGAGCCAGTTATTGTATTTTTTTATTCTTAAATTTCTTTATTTTCTTCTAAAACTATATTTTTTTTCATAGAATCTAAATTAAAATGACTTAATTTTTTAAAATATTAATAAAATTTCTTATTTTTGCATTAAATGTTTATATTTTTTATCAATTTCTCTTAAAATATATATTAAGGCTCAGAATTTATTTATTATTTCTAATTTTTTAATTCCTTTTTTAATTACCATCTCCTTATTAATAAAAAGAAAATTTTATATTATTTTGAGATTCCAAATTGTCTCTAAATGATTCTTCTTATTCAAAAATATTAAATTTATTATTTTCTACTTCACGTTTTTTTGGAAAAAGATTTATTGTTTATTATCCATTATTATCATTTTTATGTTTTTTAAATATTTTATCTTTGTATTCCTAACTTAATTATTTTAGTTTTTTATTCTAACTTTAAAAAAAATAAACTAAGTAAAAATCTAAGCTTTAATAATCTTTTATTAAAAATAAAAACAAAATTAAAAAAATTATAAATAAATTTTATTTTTTTACATATTAAAATACAACTTATTGGCTTAGTATATTTACTTACTCTCCTATAGTCAAAGGGATTTAATCATTTACATTTTGAGTTATACAAGGATGCAATAAAGATTAATTAGCAGTATATCTTTATTAATAATCAACATAAGTCATTTTAGTTATTAAATTTTATGAAAATCTTAAATATGATTTAAAATACATGTAATAAATTTTTAATATATTAATATTACTGATTAAAATTTTAATTAAAATTAAATTAAGGATTAATAATTTTCTATTTAAATGATTAAATTTTATCATTTTTTTAATCCCAAAAAGGATGATTCCCAAAATCAATAATTTAATACAAAATAATTCCACAACTCCAAATATCAACAGGCTATAATATTATTTAAAAATATATATATATATATATATATATATATATATATATATATATATATA